AAATACAATGTTTGAACTGAAGCCTATTAGTTGCTATGGTGAGTGATTTTTCAGTTCACATGGTAACAGTGCGGCTCTGCCAAACTTCAAACACCTGATTCGGTCTGCAGCGAGGCAGGCCCAAAGTATGTGCCCTGCTGTTTCATCATATTCCAAACAGAGGCGACACACACTGTCTTGCCACTGATGATTCAGAAGACAGTGACCTGTGAAAAGGCCTGTTAGACATCGTAGTTCATCCTTACTGTAGTTCAAAAACTGTTTGGTTTCAAACTTCGAAGGGTGAATGAACGCCTTGGAGTGAGCTAATCCTGTTGCCAGAAGTCCATAGATCTTCTTGCCATTCAGGTGTTCAAAGTTTCTTTAGCAAAGCCTAAAGCGATGCCAATGACAGGTTTTGGAACGATGAAGCTGCTCGCAGCACCCTCCTCTGCAAAGGAGTCAGCAGCCTCATTGCCTTCCACGCCAGTACGGCGCGGAATCCAGACCAGAGGACTTCAGTGGAAAGGATATTGTAATGTAGACCCCGTCCTTGACATTAATGGAGTTTGGAATGCTAGTATATCTCAATTCGTTATAAACCTTCTAAATATACAGTGCATTTCTTTATTGTCCCCCCTTNCTACAGAATGGCCAGCCCGCTCGCCAGTTTTGATACCTTTGGACTTTTTTATGGGGCTATTTGAAGAAAAACGTCTACGAAACTGAAACTACTACAATATTGGATATACGGAAGAGAATAATAAATATTTTTAGAAACAAAATTTCAAATTATTTTAGTATGTAATTTCAATATATAATGGTGCAAAATAGGTGCAAAATTAATATGCCAGACGTTAATTCGTTTGTTCAGTTAACAGCAGAAGAGTGACTCATCTCCATAGTCGTCATCATCGTCACTGCTCTGATCATTATGATTATTATCATCATCGCCATCAACTTTGTCCGTAGTATTTTCATTGTACAGTAGTAGCAGTAGTGTAACAAAATAAAATTTCAATAATTATGTAACTTTTTCTATTTCTCATTTTGCCACTAACATTTTTATGATTAAAATTGAAAGGGTATTTTAGGAGACATTAATTTTTTAACCAATTGAGTTTTTATTCTTATAATGTTATCCGTATTTGCTACTGAAGAGCAGATAAAGCAAGTGTCGTATAATTCAGTGTTCATATGAAAATATTTGTTTTGATTGAAATTTTTTTTTCGTGTAATTCAATGTTTATATGAAAATAGTTATTTCGTCTTTCTTCCAGTCTGTGTCTGAAAGTTACTTCTTTGCATGATCAACACATCATTGTATAGAGTTAAGTTTTTGGAATTGATTGCTTCCTTCTTTTCTTTGAAAGATTCCCACATTTTTTGTATGAAGATGAAGAAGTAAAATGCCAAAAACTTCCTTTCCCAAAAATCAATATCTCCTAAAAATATACCCTTTCAATTTTAAACACGTTTCCTATGGCTGGCATTCAATCAAATGAGCGAATGAATGTTATTTACGTACTATCATCGATGACATGGGAGGATTCAGCCCATGCCGCGACAAAAAGTCGTAATTATGAACGAATCAAGCGGTTTTTTTATGTATTCCGTATTTGCTACTGAAAAACGGATAGGGCAAGTGTCTTACGGCGAAACATCGAATGTCTAGCAGTGAGACAGTGTTCCATGTAAGTGAAATTTTACTTCTTTCATTTATTATATTGTGTAGAAATTCTATGAATGATATCTGATTCGATTTCATACGAACGTTTGGAATACAGACGGAGTAGAGGAAAGTGTTTTTCATATAATTTAGCGTTCATATAAAAGTATTTGTTTCGATCCTATTTTTCTTTCGTGTAATTCAGTGTTTATATGAAAATAGCTGTTTCGACAGGGTTTTTTCGTCCAGTTTGTGTCTGAAAGTTACTTCTTTGCATAATCTACAGATCTTTATATAGAGTTAATTTTTAAAATTGCTTTACTTCCTTCCTCTCTTTGGAAGATGATGACACGTTTTGCATCAAATTGGAGAAGTAGAAGGCCAAAACCTTTCCCAAAAATGTTTATGATACTTTACTTTCTACAATAGTATCAGAAATCGATGCTGGAAACTGCCTCATAGCAAACCAGACGAAAGCATATTCACCGGACTCTTCAAGTGAGTGTTTCTCCAAAACTTTGCGACGTACCGCAATCGAAATTGTGTTTTTTTTCCAAAATTATCAGCTTCTTTCGATGCATAATTTTTGCAAATAGATTAAAGCGAACATTGTCAACTTTTGAAGAGTGAATGTGAATTTTTATAGCTTCATAAATATACATTCGAGTACATCTTCATCGTCTGTTATAATCTCCTGGCACACCGCCTGGTAGTCAACAGATTTTTCGAGCAGTTTGAAAGGTTCAATTTGCATTTTCTGAAAAAAGCTGGCGTGTAATCGCACCCTTTCATCGCATGGAAACATAGTAGAGCTTTCAATAAAACAATACCAAGGACTTGATATAATTCATTGATGGTTATCTAACGTTTATGATTTCCTACACCCCATTTAATCCAAATTTTATAATATTGAAATAACAGACATGCTAATATAATAAAAAATGAGGAATGAAACTATCTATGTTTCATTATAAAGGTGATAAAAAAACACTTTTGTAATAAAAGTGGTAAAAAAACATAGGGAGATTCATTTCTCATTTTTCATGATGATTTCTCACCACGTTGTATTGTAAAATTGATTTAAGACTAGTAGATGAGGCAATATTGTGAAATTAATTCAAGACAAGCAGGTACCTAGAAGAGATATCTATGTTATAAATGAGTTTGTAAGTATGATACGTTTGATATTGGTCTTGAAAATGATCAATTGTTGATCAGTTTGGTGTTGAGAAAAAATTCCAGTAATATACATTCTTAGTTCTTGGATAGTAGGTAAAATTTGAATATTAATAAAATCACTGACATTATGATAAAATGTTCGAGAATTGAAAGTGGTTAACCTCTTGTAGGAAATCTGAATGTTTGTCCTTATTGATTTCCAGAGACTTCAGCAGATTCAATTTGTGTCCTTTATTTTCCATATCTAGTATGTCGTAGATATTGTTGTTGAAGAAGATAATATTCGCGATAAACCAAACTATTCCTTTTTGTTAGAGTAAATTGTCTATAACTTCAAAACTATTTGTTAGCACGACTTGGTTTAAGTCGTAGATGACTCTGTATGAAATACGAGACAAATGGCACCTCACTAATAATTTTCGATGGATTTAAATTAAAATGTGAAATGACACTTGTAAACTGGACAACTATTTCACTGAGTGTAAACTTTAACGGACGGAAATAACTGTGTCGAAGCCTTTCCCCAGATTTTATGGCCGTGGTCTGCAGGTTTTTTTCCGTTTCGTCTACCGCAGTGGTAAACAAAACGTCAGGCATGAATAGCTGCAGACCAAGGCAAAAACCTGGAAAATCGCCTTGACACAGCTATTACAACTCTAAGATGCTTTTTCTCTTTGTCCAAAATGAGGAGAGCCAGCATAGGAAAATAGCAAACCATGAGAAATACAAAGACGATTAAATTGAGAAAAAGTTAATCCATATTGAAACTGATTAATACAGTTTATTGTATGATTTTCACTGTGAAGGGTTTTACAAAAACCGCGACACGTGTTTTGCTATACAATAGTGAAAATCATACAGTGAACTGTATTACTTAGTTTTCAGGAAAAAGTTGCCCATTTTAGAGTTCACTTAAATGATGTTTTTGAGTTCAGCAAAATCAAATAAATTCAGGATGTATTCAAAAAGAACCCACTCATCAGTGTAAAACTATCCACAGTTTCCGATGTGCAAGCTGTTGAAATTAGAATGAAAGATAAATTTCAAAAAGTGCAAATGAATTCATCATGAACTAATTACAATATCAATTTTTTTTCAGAAGCATTTAAAAAATAAAAGTATGTTTTACAATACGTTAATTTGCATTCCTTGCTGTTCATTAATTCAAATCACAATAAATGCAAACAACCATTGAAATTGTAAAGAAATCTTCAACATATTAGTGAAAGTGATACTAATTCAGGAACGAATGTAGCCGCAATGAATTTAGAGTAGATAAGTTCATTACACTAACGAATAAGATCATATTTTCGAAAAGTTGAATGAGGAAGTAGCTTTTCAAACTATTTGCTCATCTCAACAAATGTGAGATTACGACGAAATGTTAGATAATGGACAGTCATGGATATACGAAATAGAGAACTCTGATAAAAACTATATCGGTCAGACAAAGCGAGCCATTGAAACTTGTTCCAAAGAAAGCAGCTTATATCCGATTTTGGAGATTAGAAAAATCTGGTATTGCTCAACACGCCGTAGAGAACGGCCAAAGAATAAAGGAAATACCCAAACATCTCATTGTTTACCTTTCATGAGTCCTGTTGAAATTAGCAGGAACAAAGTTGTATACATAGGAACTGTTTAAGAGTTGGAAATTCGTTTTTTCATCTCCTGAAGATGCCAACTTGGTTGGAAAAACGCGCATCTAGAAGGGTATGCAGTTCCGGTAATGGAAAAAAGTTCTTGTTTTGGATGTATTCTACGGTTCCAATTTTATCTTTTACTGCCTCAGAATTAGTGACAAAAAACAGTTGATGTCAACAATGAATTATCACATGAGTTCACTTTGAGAGTGACTTCAAAGGAATGTATTTTTCAGAAGAGATCACTTTTTGGGGGACATAGCTTTCAGTTCAAAATAAACTCTTTACAAACATGTGTAAATCATGCATAGGAGTTGGAGTGATATAAGTTGCAGATAAACATGATCATTATGGGTTACTTATCAAATCGTCCGTTTATGAACTGAACTATGGATGCAGCAATATAAAAATAAGGTGCAACATTGGTGATAATTCAATGAGGAGCATCTTTGATAACATGCACACTTATGTAACAAATGTTCATTCAGTATTTTTTTGGTTGAAATTTGACCCATCAGATAACCCTTCTTCTCATTATGTATATAAGAGTAAAATTTCTTGGTTTTGCATATTCGTTTTTATTGTAATCATGAAATTCTGCTTTGGTATCGTGTTGGCTATTACAGTTTTGGTCTTGGTAAGATTTGAAATCATTTTTCAATGCTGAAAGATTTTTTATTTGTATTTTGAAATTAACTGTAATTTTTCATTGTGGGTTTTCACAATGTTTTATTCAATATTCAGGGTGAAGGATCAAAGTTAAGAGCATGTCTCAAAAATTTTTTTTCGTGGGAGCTTGGATTTCAATTTTTTTAATTTTTCTTAGTCCTTCGCAAGAAAGGCTAAGAAAAAGGCTATATAAGTGTTTTCGATATTTTCAATTTTCTCAGTTTTCAAACCAACTTTTTTCCTATCGACGAAACTTTCTGAGTCGATAATATATCGATTGAAACAAGTAATGAAGGAAAACTTATATTACATTTTTCATAGATGAACATAATCGTTGCTGAGACAATTCCCAATATTTCCGACCCTGTGAATGCAAAATGTCTTCAATATTTTCTAAACTATAGCGATCATCGGAAAAATGTAATAAAGTATATACCTCCTCAACATACAACAAACATGTTTCATAGTTTTCCGATATTTTCAGTTTTCAGTTATTACTCGACTTCTATATGTGAATTTTCTTTTTCTTAAATTATGCCAAAACTGTTATGGTGAGAAAAACATATTCATTGATTTTTCATAGAACTTCTTTGGAGTATTGTTCTCATGCATGGAACTCCTCTCCCTGAAACTGCTGGATTTCATCCAGAAAAGGGTCATCCGCCTGATTGAAGACGCCAACATCACTTTCAACCTCGATAGTCTGAAACATCGAAGAAAGGTTGAAGATTTGTCTCTCTTCTATAGATACTTTCACGGGAAGTGTTCAAGTGACTTGGCACATTTGATTCCACCAAGAGCGGTACATATCAGAAATAAGCGACGGACTGAGCTGCTCATCGTTTTGAAGTTCAACTCAGTACACCTCGAACTTCACTGTTTAAGAATTCTTTCATTTGGAGAACGGCGTTTATGTAGAATAATCTTCCTGAGAACGTTTTTCCAAATGGATTTGATCTCCAGCGATTCAAATCCAATGTGAATGACTTTCGCACAGGCACCGCTCGAAAAGGTACTGAAAATTGAATTTTCCGTCTTCAGATTCTGCCCAAAATCTATTCACCTGTAGTCTATTACGGTTCCAATAAATATTGAAAATTTCAAGTCGATATCTGTGGCCATATCTTTGTGAACAATAAAAACACAGATGAACAGACAGACAAACCTACAAGTGATAGAATTTCCCAAAAAATTTCATCATTCTGAACTCTTTCTTTGATAGAGGGCTATCTCGTCAAATAAAAAATCTCGATAAATCTGAAATACCTTCCTTTAATTTTCAAATTTAAGGTTAGGTTAGGTTAGGTTAGGTCCAAAGTGAGTGGGTATATTCGACCCTCCACCGCAACCCGCAAGGGTTTATTGTAGCTCACACCTATTCTCACTCGGCCAAACAAACCCAGCTTCTTAACGAAGCCGATAAGTTTGTATGGTGAGTGGTCTTTCAGGTCATATGGTAAGAGCACGGTGCTACTGAAGTTATAAGATTCCCACCATGTAAGATTCCCACCATGATACCCACCGACACCTGAGGATGCCTTAGATTCAACCATGCAGGGCTTTGTCGCCTCTGGTTTTGGTGAATCATCACTTCAGTTGTTGGATGAGGAGTTGGAGAGTTGAGAAGCTCCCGCTCCTGAACTTAATTTACAGGGAGGTCGGTTGGAGTCGTAAACTCGACATCCATCTCCTCTGTAAAATCGCTCCTGAACTAAATTTACAGAGAGGTCCGTTGGTGTCATAAACCCGACATCCATCTCCTCTGTAGACTCACTCCTACACTAAATTTACAGGGAGGTCCGTTGGAGTCGTCGACATCTATCTCCTCTGAAGACTCGCTCCTGAACTAAATTTACAGAGAGGTCCGTTGGTGTCGTAAACCCGACATCCATCTCCTCTGTAGACTCACTCCTACACTAAATTTACAGGGAGGTCCGTTGGAGTCGTAAACTCGACATCTATCTCCTCTGAAGACTCGCTCCTGAACTAAATTTACAGGGAGATCAGTTGGAGTCGTAAACTCGATATCCATCTCCTCTGTAGACTCGCTCCTGAACTAAATTTACAGGGAAGTCGGTTGGAGTCGTAAACTTAAGGTTATTGGAAAAAAAAATTCAAATTTATTGTCCCACATTGATAGTACATTTTCTTTCGTGTAATTCGATGTTCGTGTGAAAGTTAATGTACTGGAAGCGCTTTTTTTGAGTTTATAACTAAAAGTAACTTCTATGTACTCGTATAATATACACATTTTTATAAAGGATTTTATTTAGCACACAACTTTTCCCTCCTTTCGCAGTTTTTCACAATGAGCAAGTGAAAAGCTGATAAAACCAAAAACTCATTGGGCCTGAAAAATTAAACAAATATTTGAATCCTTCTCGAAACTTCTAATCGTTTTTCTTCCCAAAAAATCACATATTTTACTTAACATCAAACAGAAAAGGACTGTTTTTAACCAAAAAATTTGACATAAAACACTTTTTTTTCTCATCCCTTGCATTCTTTTTAATTATTCATGCAAAGTTCTGCTGATGAAATATTTTGCTACTTATCATCATATCGGTTATGCCGAAAAAAATCTAGGAAAACATCTTGTATTTAGTTAGGTCGAAAACACATCAGTATTAATTTTTGTTCAATATGTAGGCAAAATTCATAAATACGACAAGTTACTGGCTAATTGGATTTTCCAATGGTTTATATTGAACTTTTCATTTTGCTCTTTATTATACTTCAGCAGATTCTTTATTGATTTACCCTAATATTTTTTCAGATTGAGGAAGGTTATGAGCCCAAAAAAACAGTAGAAAATATTGAATCCTCAACAAAAAAGTCTTCTAAGGAGCATCTTTGATAACATGAACACTTATATAACACAAGTCCAATCAGTATTCTTTTAATTGAAATTTGACCTATCAGATAACCCTTCTCATTATGTATATAAGAGCCAGATTTCTTGGTTCTGCATATTCGTTATCATTGTAATCATGAAGCTCTGCTTTGGTATAGTGTTGGCTATTACAGTTTTGGTCTTGGTAAGATTTGAAATTATTTTCCAAAGCTGAAAGATGTTTCAATTGTATTTTGAAATGAACTATATTTTTCCATTTTGGGTTTTTGTAATGTTTCATTCAATATAGGGGCATTCGGGGTGAAGGATCAAAGTTGAGAGTATGTTTCAAAGATTAATTTTTCATGAGAGCTTGGATTTCGATTTTTAGCCTCAAGAAAGGCTAAGAAAAAGTTTATATGCTATATAATAGTTTTCGATATTTGCGATTTTCTCAGTTTTCAGTCCAACTATTTTCCTATCGACGAAACTTTCTAAGTCGATAATATCAAATGAAATAAGTAATAGAGGAAAACTTTTACATTTTTCATAGATGAACATGATCATTTCTAAGACAATTCCCGTGAATGCAAAATGTCTTCAATATTTCCTAAACTATAGTGATAGTCGAAAAAATGTAATGAAGTATTTACCTTGTGATATTGATGACTTATTTATTTTGTGTAAATTCATTCTCAATTGAATGATATAGATAAAATACTTAGTCTAATTTCCACTTACTTAATATATTGATATTAATACGATATATCTTAAGTTGAGTTACTTGAGAATGGTGTAAAAACCGAAATCTTGGTCATATTAATATCAATACATTAAGTGAGTGGAAATTAGATAAAGTATTTTATCTATATCATTTAATTGAAGAATTTACCTTCTTAACATAAAATAAAAATGTTTCATAGTAGATATTTTCAGTTTTCAGTTCTAACTTGACTTCTGTATATAAACTCTCTTTTACTCAAATTATCTCAAAACTGTTGTGGTGATAAAAACATATTCATTATTTTTTCATAGAACTTTTTGGTAGGTATCAACTTCTGGATAATTAGTAACTTTTTNACGTAAGACTTATATGTTTTTATATATACAAAAAATTACTCATTTATTATATCCCAGTATCCTGTAAGATGTATATGTTTTTATATATAAAAACTTTTTTTTAATTTTATTTATTTTATTTGCCAGTACCGTGTATGACTTATATGTTTTTATATATACAAACTGATTTTATGTATTAAGTGAAAATTGATCAATTCAAATGCACTTTGTTTTTACATAAAAACTGTATCATAGATTAAGTGAAACTTTGTCCACAAGATTATTCTTATGACAATGAAGTATATTATTTCTCTCTCTCTCATGGTGATAATTTCATTTCTCAGAAAAAAAAATTATTTCAGACGGATTTTATACTATTCAACTAATAATCATGAGTACTATAATCTGTGGAAAATTATCGATGTCTCTATGTTAGTCATTACAATTAGAAAATCCCCCATTTCGAAGAAACCCAAATGAATAAATCGCCTCTCAAGCAATGGGTAAATACGTTTTCTAATTTCAGGCCAATGCTGAAACCACCAAGGAGAAATATCTGAGATTCGACAGCGAGTGCAAGAAACCAGATGCAATTAAATCCCATGACCTTTGCATGAACGTCAAATTTGGTTTACAGAAAGAAAACGGAGACATTGACAAAGATGTTTTGAGAGCGAAATTCGGTCAAAATCTCAAAATAAGTGCTGACGAACTTAACGAAATGATAAATGAATGTAGCGTCAGAAAAGGTAATACTGCTGCTGAAGCTGGAGATGCCTTGAGTCAGTGCATTCGCAAGTATCTTGCCCCCGTATATTCAGAAGTAGAATAATTTTTCAAACTTCTCAATTGTTCTCAGAAAATAAAGGAATTTTCAAGTACAATAATTTTTGTGTTTCCTTTTTGAACAAGAACTATTGCGTGTTAACATCTTGAAAGTATCAACCAGTATCAAAACGAATTTGAACATTGACATCAATTTTTTGAAATTCTGTTATGGTTCTTCAAAATTATGTTACTATCATCACAATTCTCTATGAGATCTAGCAAATACAAAGTTTGAACTGAATAAAAACAGTCTTGAATAAGAAATGAACTCGGTTTAGGAGAAAGTTATAATGCTAACTTGTTTAGTAAAACGCATATTGAGGGACAGTAATTTAGTTCTGATTTGAGAATTTCCAATAGACTTATTGACGATGTACAAGAAAATAATAGTCAAACAGTAGATTAGAAAGGCCAACAATAGGAAAAAGCATTAAGACTTGGTTCAGAAAAAATCTAGTAATTATATATCATATCTCGAGCAAGAAAACCGACTTCAGGTTGGGTTGGGTCAGAAGTGAGTGGGTGTATTCGACCCTCCACAGCAACCCGCAAACGTTTATTGTGGCTCACACCCATTCACACTCCACCAAATAAACCTAGCCTTTCAACGAAGCCGATTCGTTTATATGGTGAGTGATCTTTCAGGTCCGATGGTAACAGTGCGGCTCTGCCAAACTCAGAGAACCTGATTCGGTCCGCCGCGGAGCAGGCCCAAAGTATGTGCTTGTGATGCACTGTTTGGAATATTTCGTGTAGTAATAAATATTACTAGAGTTTTTCCCAACACTAAATCGTTATTTCAACACCTCGACACATGTTTCGATCACCAAGGGATCATCTTCAAGAGGAAGATCAAACTATCATACTCACCAAGCTATCCTTATTTATACCATACAGGTATATAGGTATACCATACCTAGACGCAGATACCCTACCTATTTAGATACCTCGTGAGTGACTTAAATTAATTTTACAATTTGCTTTGTCTACTTGTCTTAAATTAATTTTACAATGTATCCTTGTGTAGTAGTTAAGTGAATCTAATAATTGAAATGTTATAAGCTATATAAAATTGATTTCACAATATTCCCCCATCTACTTGTCATAAATTAATTTATCAATGTGTCCTTATGTAATAGTCAGGTAAATCTAATAATAAAATATTATTTTANATATTTTTTTATATTATTTCAAATATTAGAGTTATCTGACTATTACATAAGGACACATTGTAGAATTAATTCAAGACGAGTAGATGAGGCAAATCGTGAATTCAATTTAAGACACTAAAGACGCAGGTACCTTCAACAGGTACCTGCGTCTATATATGGTATACCTGTATGGTATACGTGAGTACCTGTAAGGTATAAATAAGGAGAGCTTGGTGAGTATGATAGTTTGATCTTCCTCTTGGAAATGATCACTTGATGATCGAAACACGTGTCGAGGTGTTGAAATAACGATTTGGTGTTGTGCAAAGCTCCAGTAATATTCCATAGTATGTGCTCTGCTGTTTTATCATTTTCCAAACAGAGGCGACACACACTGTCTTGCCACTGATGATTCAGAAGACAGTGACCTGTGTAAAGGCCTGTTAGACATCGTAGTTGATCTCTACTGTAGTTCAACAACTGTTTGGTATCAAGCTTCGAAGGGTGAATGAACGCCTCAAAGTGAGCTAATACTGGAAGATTTTGCCAGAAGTCCATAAATATTCTTGCCATCCAGGTATTCAATGTTTGTTTGGCAAAGCCTAAAGCGATGCCAATGACAGGTTCTGGTTCGATGACGCTGCTTCCAGTACCCTCCTCTGCAAGGGAGTGAGCAGCATCATTGCCTCACACGCCAGTATGGCCAAGAATCCAGACCAGAGGACTTCAGTGGAAAGGATATTGTAATGTGGACCCGTTCTCGACATTCAAATGGAATATTGCATTTATGATCTTGTGTAAATTAATGGAGTTTGAAATGCTAGTATATCTTAATTCGTTATTAACCTTCTAAATATATGAAAAACAATTGGTTGAGTGTTTCATAATTACTGCTCTTCAATCCTGAAAGTTCATTCGATTATCATCTGGTTCACTGCCGTTTCAGGCTTGGTGGAATATATATTTTTTTTGTCAAATACTATTNGAAGGAAAAATACCTTCAGAGAAAGATAAATTGATTAGATAAATCAGAGGTTCCATTATTTTCGAAGCAGCCTTTAATAAAACATTGCCTGGCAATTCATCAACCCCACTGGAATTTTTCGAACATGCGAATTTAATTAGTTCCAAGAGTTCAGTTTCATCTTTTGGATAGAGGAAAATACTCTCAGTTTTTACACAACGATTTTCAATGCCACCAGGTGCAGTATTTTTTACTAATGACTCCACTGAATCGACAAAATAACTACTAAATGCTTGAGATATGTGGACCCGTACGCGACATTCAAATGAAATATTGCATTTATGATCTTGTGTAAATTAATGTTTGAAATGCTAGTATATCTTAATTCGTTATTAACCTTCTAAATATATGAAAAACAATTGGTTGAGTGTTTCATAATTACTGCTCTTCAATCCTGAAAGTTCATTCGATTATCATCTGGTTCACTGCCGTTTCAGGCTTGGTGGAATATATTTTTTTTTGTCAAATACTATTACATGGAGTTCATATTTTATATAGTTTGAAAGAGTTTTTCGTGGAGAAAAGTTTGTTTTTTTGATTGATTTCTGTGAATATATTATAGAAATTAGATGAATGATTATAAGTTTCAAATCGACATGTCGTCTATCACCATTATGGTCATTTCCCGGTTATTGACTGAATGGTTATCCGTTTAAAAAAACATAATCTTGCCACGGTATGTTGACCTTTGATACTTCGTATACCCAATATCAAATATTGAGAAATATAATAAAAACTTCAAAAAACTTTTCCAATGGTATCGATTTACAAACTAATCAATTAGTGATATCAAAAGTTAAACAAATTCAGAAAAAAATGTTTTCTTTTTAATCCCAATGAGAACTTCATATCAGGTCAATGTTTTAGAAACATCATTCAACAAATCAAAACAGGCCGATATCTGTTCTAACTTTATTTGAACATTTGAACCTAACCAGACCAGCTATCTTAGTTTACTTTCCTTAATGATTCCGTTTAATTAAACAAACCACTGGATAAGACTCAAGTTTTTCCATTTCAATCTAAAGACCCTAGAAGAAGAAGGAAAGATATCGTTGTTTCCTAGTTAGATAATACTTGGATATAGCGGGTGACTACTTCATCATATATACGGAAAGCTCTGAAGATCTTCTTCAGTTTCAACTATGAAGACTAGTGCTGTTCTCGTTTTGGCTGTCGCCTTTTTGGCCCTGGTGAGTTTTTCAAAAAGATTATTACATTTCACGTTTAAACCATCTGGAGAACTTTCGGACTTCCAACTTGTAAATAACAGAAAAAATGCAAATACAAAAATAGCAGTATATTTTCCGGAAACAACTACAATCCTGACTTTATATCTGGTTACGAAACAACTAATTTTGCTTTGTTCAATTCAATCAATATATAATTGATAAACTGATGGTGTATAAAATGTCATTGACCTGAAGTATCCTAGCAAAGAGTTGGGATCTAAATACAGGGTGTTTCAAATTCGATCCTCACCATTGGAATCTCGGAAACTATGAGAGATACGAAGATGGTTAAATCGGGGCAAAGTTGCGCATTTACCTGACTAACATTATACCTTTGAGTAAGTTCTGAAATTCCGAGTATATCCGAAAAAAACAGAAATTTCCGAAAATGGTTTTTATTTTTTCTGGCTTTATTTTTCAAAGAATTCGAAAATAAATTGCACTTCCACATTGCCACTTTTTCCTGCTACATAATGGTGTTTTCAGATTTGCTATCCGACGTTTCATCTTCCAGCCGCCATCATCAACTTTATTTTTTCTTATGGGCGCTACATTTGAATGATGTATCATGAGTTATCATTATTTTTCGAAAAATTGGAAATATTGAAAAAAATTAATTCTTATCATATCTTGTATGATACAAATTTATTACATATACCATAGAAACAGTATTAGGACATCGGAAATGTATTTTAACTTGAATCCCAAAAGACGACACATCGAACTATATTCAAGTTATTGAATCGAAATGTCACCAAGTTTGGTTCATTTGAAAAGCGGAGAAAAAATACGGAAACAGAATGGACCAGGAAACTAAAGAAAATTTGATAAATGAGGTATGTATGAGGTAAGTTACACATGGTGTCCTTTTCAATAAAAATTAATAATTTGTAGATTGTCATACAAGTGCTAATAAGAAGACCTGATTTTCCTGGAAAATATAATTTAGACAGATGAAAACACTTTTACGTATTGGGGGATATTCAACAGAAATAACGAACACATTTGGAGCATAAACAACTCCAGGCAGTTCCGAGAAATTCGACCTCAAGTGCAATTTAGTATTGACGTGTGGGCAGGAATTTACAAAGATAGTATTTTGGTTCTCATTCATTTGACGGAATTCTGAATGAAGAAACCAGTTTTTAATATCGATTTTCGAAGACTATTTGGATGATCTACGTTTGGTTACCTATAACAACATCTAGTTTTAACATGATGGTGCTCCACCGAACAATACCAGACGAGTATCTAATAACCTGACTGAAAAGTTTGGTGATAAATGGATAGGGAAGTCGGTGAGATTTTGATCCAATAACTTGAACATAATTTGGTTGTCGTCTTTCAGGATACAAGTTTAAATACATTTCCGAAGTCCTAACACTGTTTTTATCGTATTTGTAATAAATTTGTATCATATCTGTTTTTTCTTCATTCGTGAAACCCATTTTTCGACAAAAAATCAATGACAAAACAATAACAAAATTTCATTGAGTGTAACAAATTGGAAGGCAAATTTAGAAACGTCAAAGCCTATTATGATAAGAATTAATTTTTTCAATATCTCCAATTTTTCGAAAATAAATGATAACTCATTATACATCATTGGTAAAATATGGTTCTATTCAAAACAGAAAGAATCCAATGTAGTG